AGAATGGCTTTCAATGGAGAGGTGTTCTGGGATGCTTTGGTTTTTATAAAAACACATCTATTTTATTAGTCATTCAGTCAGCACATAAAACGACTTGTTTGTATTCTTTTTCTTTGAAGGAGTAAGAAGAGTAGGGGAGGCAACCAAAAAATACATTTTCAAAGCTGCATTAATCAGATTATTTTAGACCAAATGAGTAGAATCACAAAGACTGAACAATAATTTTAAAATATATACCTATTATTTTCAATTACAAGTGACAGTTTTACTTTCAAATTCTGGTCCTTTAGAGCCTTATTTTCAAAACATGGCTGTACAATAGAAATATAAGGGAAGTTAGTTAAAAATGAGATGCTTTTGACATCTTCTGAGGAATTCAGATCTAACAAATCTTGGGTAGACCTAGAAATAAGTGCTTCAGGTGATTCTGATGTGATATTTGGGAACCAATTCTTAAGTGGAACTGTTTTATTGTGTAGATACTAAACAACAGTTTGTATTAGTTGTATGTGTCACTAACAGCTATAATGGACTAGCTGGGATCACACCAACCCTCACACTGAGAACAACTTAAAAAACTGGATTAAGAAAATCTACTTGAAGGTGCTGAAGAATTATTAAGACAGACAGGACTCAAATGGACAAGATGTCAGAGCCTGACATCCTCCGCTTTCCACTTTGAGGCATTAGCTGATTTTGGCAGCAAATTAAGCCTAGCAGAAAGAGACTGAGAAACTGAGCAGAGCCCAGTCTCACAGGGCTGGGGAGGCAAAAACTGGAGTCCATGGCCAGCTAAGGAGAGATGGCCTCAAGAAATACTCTAGACCAGTGGTTCTCAAAGTACGGTTCCCCAGGCCAGCAACATCAGCAATGCCTGAGAATTTGTTAGAAATGCATACTTGGCTCAGATCTTATTGAACTAGAAACCTAGGACTAAGGCCCAGAAATCGGTGTTTTAATAAGTCCTTTGGGTGAACTGGATACATGCTGAAATCTGAGAAAGACTACCTAAGCTTTCAGTTGGAAGTCCTGAAAGACCACAGCCTAGAAACGTAGGCCAACGAAAACTACATCAGACCACATGAAAACTGAACCCCAGCTTCTAGTTAGTCTGGTAATCTAGTCATTACTGGGCTAAAGTGGTGTGTCCCTAATCTGCGTGTCAGATGCAAAAGATAAACTCTCAAATTATCCCTAGAATTTTTCAAGTTCAATGTCGAGAAAGCAGTAAAAAAATGAACAGGCATACCAGAACAAAGAACCAAATGACCAGGTTAAGATAAAAACATTGATGAGAGAGATTTACAAATGTTTACGGTATTGAAGTTTTCAGATACACACTTGAAATCACTTTGATTAACAAAATTCATAAAAGTAATGTTATGATGGAGAATTTTAGCAGGGAAGTGGAATCCACAAAAAAATCAAATGAAAATATAACTCTGAAAGATACAATAATTGAGAACCTGTCCATGGGTGTAACAGCAGATAAGAAAATTATTAAACTGAAAGATAGAATAGCAAAAGATAGCCAGCCTGAAGAATAGAGAGGGGAAAAAAAAGAATAGAAAATATAGAGAAAAGCATAAGAAACGTATGGAACAGAGTGTAAAGATAAAATGATCTCAAACTATGGATAAGCATCCTGAATAAAAATGCAATTTTATAGCAGCTTTCTCTTACATACCAGGCCCCAAACCAATCAACCAATTAAACAAACAGAAAACTCTGAATTTACCTTCCGCTTCAGAGGGTACCACTTCAATTGCTTATTTTGTTTGTTGTCCCAGTCCCAAGTTTCCAAATCAAGTTCCACTTCCCCTAGGAAACTATTGCGCTTAAATGTATCTCGATGCCAAACAGACACGTTCAGCTTCTGTGTCTTTAAGATTTGCTTTTCGATTTTATACTGCAGTTGGAAAAAGGAAATTAAAGTAGTAAATAATATTATTTTATGCCAAAGTTATGAAAGAGATGAAGAAAAAAGTCATCTGTGTAGATCAGGTTTTCTCATCTATTAGGTTTCAAGTCTCAAGAATATTGCAAAGTCATCTTATTCTAAGTGTCTTATTTCAAAGAGCTAAAATCCATCTTTCACAAAGCTGATTTTCTTTCCTCCTCTGGAAAAGCAAACCATGGCTCAAATATCATAGCCGACAATAGCTCTCTAAAAACAAAAGACAATTATTCAAGTTGTACTTTTTTAGTTATTTACTTACTGTCTTTAGCTTTTAGTTCTAACCAGATATAACAAATCAAATTCTGTTTAAAAATACAAATGATGTTTAATTTAATGGTCTGTTTTCTACCTACAAGGTATTTTTTTAACACACTTTATTTTTTAGAGCAATTTTAGATTCATGCAAAATTGAATGAAAAGTACAGACAGTTCCCATGTACCATCTGCCCCATATATATATACAACCTCTCCCACTACTGGTGTCCCGCAAGGACAAGATATTTTTCAAGAAAGATATACATGGTGTTTTGGGGTTTTTTTGTTTTTGTGTTTTTTGGCATCCTAATAGTTTTTCATCTAAAATGTAGTCAAGCCTTGATTATATATAATCATGGAAGGGATAATAGTCCTTCTAATCTAAAAATAATCTCTATTTGGCTCTATGATACACTAATTGAATGTCCATTTTAGTTGTAGCAGACTTGCCTTTCTCTGAGTTTACCATTTAAATTAGCTTTTCCTGAGTATGGGGTTGAAGTAGCTGACCTAGAAATAGCCTGGGTACTGAGGTGTATCACAGTCAAACTGTAATCAAAACTTGTTAAAATTTACCCATGATGATGGAGAGTTAACTTAATTCTGCCTCTTTTCTCAGAGGATAACCAAATACTTGGAAAGAGTTTTTAGAAGGAGAGAATGATCAACATTTCTTATACTTGTAGTTTTAAAGAATCCGCTACTAAGGACAAAAGCAGCGTGATGCAGTTTGAAGGAAAAAGGAATATGGGTTTTTGAGCTGGTTATATTCTCCACTCATCTGTCCATCCATCCATCCTTCCAATAAACATTTTTTGGATGCCCATCCCAGACACTGTACTAAGAGTCAACATTTGCTAAGTGTTTAATGCATACTAATCACTTCACACATAGTAACTCTTAATGTTCACAACTACTGAGGTAGACAGGTGCTATTCTTTTCTCCCTTTTGCAGTTCTGAAGTGCAGACGGGTTAAGTCATTCGCTCAGGGGTTCACAGTTTATCAAACACAAAATTGGTCCCTGCTGTCATGAGACACAATTTATTGGGAAAGTAGAGAATTAAACCAGTAGTTAAAGTGTGTTAATATAATTAGACTAGGCTAAAACAAGGAGACTGAGGCAGCAGACAGCAGGGAAACTTAGGGGTTAAGGACAGCCTCTCATAGGAAGAGAGGCTTCTCAGGCTTTAGGTCATTATGGATAGAATATGGGGAAGAGTATTCCAGCCTGAAGGAACAGGAAGTCCCAGCACTGTAAGAAAATATAGTTCCTCCAAAGAACAGAAAGGAATCAGGACGACTCGAACGAAGACTATCAAAGTGGAAAGATGAGGCCGGAGCTCAGGTTGTCAAGGGGCTGACGTGCACATTAAGGATGGACTTGACCTTAAGGGTAATGGGAATCCTCAAAGGTTTTAAGCAGAGAAACAACATGATCAGAATTAGGCTTTTCAGAGATTATTTTGGCTGCAAGTCTCAACTTTATCAGCTGTGTATCCTTGAGCAAGTTACTTTCTTTCTCTAAGCTTCATTTGCCTCCTCTGTGAGATGCAGATAATAACACCTGCCTGGCAGGGTATGGAGGGAGTGCCTGAGAAAATGCCTACAACATTCATGGTGTATTATCTCTCACAAAGCAGTTTTTCAGAAAAACGCTTATTCCTTTCCTTCTTCTCTTTTGGTGACTGACTTCATCTGTAGAGATACTACCCAAGATGCCATGGCCTTTTACATGCACAGGTCACCATTTAAGATTTTCCCAGATAGAGAGGCCATAGATACCCTCAGTATCTCATTATACACAGGATTCAACGTTTTCTTCACTACAGGTGTTTTCTTCTTGCCCATTTTGCCCTTGTCTGGTAACAGGTAAGTCTTTATGTATCTAAAAAAAGAGAATTGAACAGACAAGGTCAGAGAAAGGAAAAGTGGTGTTTTTACCTGTACTTTAAAAAATGCATTGGAAGCTGACAGGAATAATTATTTCATGACACAGAGAAAAGCAGGAAGTAATAATTGATCTCACCAACATCTTTAAACATTTAAAGTGATTTCAGTGGAATTGATCATTTTATATTGTTTTGAAAGTTTTTAAGAAATACTTCCTGAATTCCTTTTTCCCTTTTTCCTTAACTAATGTGGGGCAGGGAGAGGACAACAGACCTCTAATGTCGTGCTTAATTCTATTGGCTATTTTCCTATTCAGAAAAGGCTTTTTATGCTTGCAGATTTTAAAAAAAAGAAGTTATTACTGTCTTTAGAAAAATAAAAAGCTTAGCACACACTTAATCAGACCAAATTCAATTTTTTAAAAAAGGATACTGAGCCCAGTTGTTTTTATAATAAAACAAAGGATTGGCCCTATGCTAGCAAAATAATTAAGAATCCGACTTCCGCATAGGGAAAAGTGGGGAATTCCATTCAACTTTTGTAACTAAACTGAAATGCAATGAAATTTGTGATTTCAAAGATGAATTGGTAATTCCCCCTAAAGTTCTGTAGAATATAATTTAAATATGGAAACTACCTGATCAAGAATCTTCACTTAACATTAAGAAATATGCCCCATATGTTCCTAATTTTAGAGAAGGTTTGAGAGCAAAGAGACCAGGGCTCAAGCCCTCATTCCTCATTTTGCTGCTGACCATGTGAATTTGTGTAAATAGTGGCTTATCTGTTCTGTTCTTTGTTTCCTTGTCTGTAAAAAGAAGGAATTGGACAAGATGACCCCACAGGTCCCTTCCAACTTGGAACATTTTGTGCTTCTTTGACATTCTATAATTAAGTTTGGTGTATGACTTTATAAAGTAAATAAAACAGCATTTTCCCTCAACTTTTCCCCCCAGAAACATTCCTTTTAAAGCAGTCACACACATACCCTCCCTTCAATTACTTTCTTTCATTCTCATTTTCTACAAGATTAATAACTAAATATACTTACGGGTCTGAACGCTGTTTTTTAATATCTGCTGCTGCTAAGTCTTTACATTGGGCCACAAAGACATGCAGCTCCTTCAGTGAGTCCACATAGTCCACTGCAAACTGAATACTTCCTTTCACTTCCAGATTGCCAAAGTCTCCGCTATAAACGCTCATCACACTGCCGCTCACCTGAAAGCACGAGAAAGACGCGGCATTTGTCTCTGTCTCATTCTTGAACCCAGCACAAGGACGGTGGGTGTAATCCCTGCTTGCCATTATTTCTCTAGTTTGCATACAAAAGCAGTTAATTCAGTATGGCATTTAAAAAAAGAGCATACCAACACAGACAACCTGACATGATACACATGACACGACTAGTGTTTTTTAAAAAATTGCCTCTAAGAGACACAGATGAAAAGTGAAATGCAAAGTTATTTAGATGCTGGCTCATTTCAAAGCAGGGTGATTTTATGGTAGAGGGCATTCAGAGTTCCATTTTTAGGCATGCTTAGAATTTTAAATGTTAAAGAAAGAGGATGTGAGAAACCCCAGGCACACAAATCACAGTGACACATTGCTCTATCAAATTTCCAAGGCACTAAAAAGGAATTTTACTGTGTTACTCATCCACTGAATCTAAGAAAATG